CCCCAAAACCCCAAAACCCCAAAACCCCAAAACCCCAAGAAAAGTTATTAAAAATGAAATAGTGTTAAGGCTCTGGTAATAGTAGTTACTGCAGTGACATATGGTGACTGGTCCTGTTTACAGCAGCTCTTAAAGCTGCCTTGGCAATATCTTTATCAGTCATCATACTCTTTAATGGGACAATACTAATGCTGGGAAGGTTAGGAGATATATGACCTTTCATTTTCTCAGTAATTGTTGGGTTATATCTATTACTCTTGAGTTTTTTCACAAAATTTCTCATCCTAAACTTCCCTTTATGACTATTGCTGGATTCATTGTCAGCCTTCCTTAGAGGCTTATTGTTCCTCTGCTTGTTTTTAAATATTGCCATTTGAATGGTAGACTCTTCCTCTATTTCTACAAGGTTCATATCTTTACTTTTTCGAGATTTCTCTAATTTTGTTAAGAAGTCTTCTTGAATTGCTTTCACAACTGGCTTTTCGACCTTCTGAAGTTTGCTATAAATCCTGTGATTATGACAAAACTCCAAATCGCTTGAATCTTCACTGAGATCATCAGAATTTAAGGTTTTTGTTCTTTTCATTCTCAGCTTTTTTGCAGTATCGGTGAAGTTTACACTCACTTTATTCTTAACACTAGTAAGGGACTTCAAGTAGGACCCTCCTTCTCCAAGTTGTAAGGAATTCTTCGGACTGTTAATCTTGAGCTTACTCTTGAACTTCTCCCTTGCCTTAATTCCCATGGGGATTTGGTTGAATACATTTTTGAATGAGCCTCTATCCTTTGGCTCAATAGACTGTCTGACTTCAGTCATCTGCTTGTTGACAACGGGGATGAACACTTGGCCTAAATATTATTTTGAAGTTGTTACTGTCTCCTCTTCCTGGGTCTGAAACTATTGCGATGAAGTTTAGCATGTGGTTGTTGTATTCCTGCTCATTTGCTTGATTTACAGATTCAACCATTTTCTTTCTGTCTATGATATATTTGACCATTTCATCAACATCCCCATTTCTGTTCTCATCTAAAAGTGTGGCTTTAGTTGTGACTTCCATAATGTTTTCGATGAGCAAGCTCATTTCGACTCCTTGAACACGCTCAATGAAAGTACTCTTGGAGAGGTCGGTATCATTTAGGATTTTGCTTTGAAGTGTCATGTATCTTCGATATTCCTCTGAGAAATTCTGGCCAAGCCCTCTCTTAATATCCTGTAACATGTCGTATCAGTATGACATTCCATAGTCATGAGCTATTAGAGTGTAGTTATTGAGGCTTTCGATGAAAGTCCTTTTTGCATAGTCTAATAAAGCCAATTTATTCTTGACATAATGGGTGAAGATCTCGTATAGGATGAACCCAACACCTGCTCATCAGATGCCAACTCCATGGTGACAATCATGCTTTTGGAAAATGACCTTGGCGTAGAGAAACTCTTTTATAGCCTCTGTGGAGGTTTCAAAGCTTGTGTCTTTATTTATTCCTTATTAGGGCAAGGCCTTTAAGTTTCCTCAGATTTGCTTCACAGAGGTTATTTGTCATAGAAGTACTTTCCGTACTCTTCAATGACCTTGACCACATCTGTTTTATTTAGAGAAGAGGATAAGATTAGTGAGGTATAGGATCATTATCTTACTGTCATCGTTGATCTTTTTGACAGTTTTACCCTTTTTGGACACCTCATTAGTGGCATCCCCTTTGTAGAGCTTGTGCTGCTCTTGCATCTCCATGAGCTTATGAGAGAGCTTGGCGTAGACTTCTTCCTTAGGCATTGAGAGACTAGAGAGCTTCTTATTGCTCTTAATAATGTTGGCTACTTTTTGATTGATTGTCCGTTTAAGCTTTTTATCCATTTCTCTAATTAAAAAAGAGGAGTTATCTCCAAGTCCAGCATCAACCTTTTTCTTTTTAACTTTAGGTTTTGGCTGGATCAATTTCTTATCGGTCTTGTTTGGCATCACAGATTTTTCAATAAACGAGAGAACGTTGCTATCTTGAAGATCATTGGAAGTTGTCCTTGGCATGATTTGGGGCTTGACCATTTTGATTATCTCATTGAAGATATTATCATCTTCTTCCTCCTTAATGCTTCTCTCTTTATTCTTCATCATGAGGTTGAGCATGTTATTTTCAGTAGGGGCTCGGGAGGGCTTAGATTTTTGCTGTAAATCTTCAATCGCACTATCATCCTCTTGACTAGACTCTTCCATGCTTGCATTTTTGAGAGAAGCATTCTTAGAGATATTTAGAATCACATTGTTTAACTGCTCTGAGGAGTCTTTTGGAGTCAGTTTTATTAAATCCATATCTAGGGCATCATCTAGCCTCCTTTTCTGCATACGTTCAAGGTCCTGTCGACTCTCTCGCTCAGGGCTTGGATCTCTGGACTTGTCAACGCTCCACATGCTGTTGTTGCGGTCAATTTCTGAGAAATCAATATTTTTCTTAATCTCTAGGGCTCTATATACACACTCCCAGATATTCATTTCAAAGAACCAGAGTTTGTTCATTACGGATTGATTTTTCTCAGAGGATCCACTGACAGAATTTTCCTTAAGAATATTCTCAAGGATCTGGATATAATACTGGGTAACGATTTTATGAATTTTATTTCTTTTCAGTCTCCTTGCTGGTCTCTTCGGCTACATTCTTGATCATAGGTACTAGTTGGAATATCTCAATCTCATTTTTGTCTTGTTTGACTGTTTTACGCATTATTATTGAGGCTTTTTCGAGGTAGGTACAGAAGGGGAACCATTCCTCATAGGTGTTACCTGTGACGCTCTGCCAGAGCGAGTCAATGTCTTCTTGTCTGGCACCTCCAGGGAGATAGCCCATCAAATTGAAAAAGTCATATATCTTCTTGTTGTTATATAGTTTTAGGGACAAATTTAATGAAAGAGTCAGTTTGTTCACTACTAAATCTCCCCCAGTTCCTTGAGTCAAGGAGTTTAAGATAGTAGATTTTATTAGAGTCTCATATAAGTGGTTCAGGTTGCTGGTTGAGTATATGTTGGCGGCAAGTGAGATGGTAATCGGATGCCCTCCCAGAAGGTAACCGAATAAGTGTTGGTATCCGTTTTTAAACCCCGCATGAATTCGTTCTGGCTCTCTATTTTTGCAACTTGAGGCGCTCATCTTTAGGAATCATTTTACCAGCTTTCTCGCACAAGAGTCTTTCAGAGAATTGAATTGTGAGAGGCTTAAGCCTTATGACTGAATCTTCTACTCCTATAATTCCACCAAGATACTGAATTGGCTCTATTTTCGAAGTCAATAGAACCTTTATTTTCTGAGAACTTTTGAAGATCATCTCTAAGAATTGCTTGAGAACATTTATCGAAATTAGAAAACTTTCTGCATTATCAATTATAAGTAATAGGTCTAAATCTTTGAGCTTTTTCATGATTTCTTTAAAGACTTGAAGAGTATCCTTCTTGCTTAGTTTGTTCGCGCTGAAGCTCTCGTGAGATTCTATAATTTTAGTATTGAAAGTATGCAGCCAGGTAGGGAGAGAAGCTCAGTTATTTCCGTTGAGAAATACTACTCCATTTTTGATCAATTCTTCGTCTCTTTCAATTAGATAATGGATTACTGCATAGGCAACTGTTGTTTTGCCTATGCCTGGCTCTCCTGTAATAGTAATGATTCGTTTCCCTAATTTCAAGATTTGAAGCACTTCCCTAACATCTTGATTTCTGCCTACGAATGGACATGGTTTTGAAGGTAAATTTTTCACAAACCGAATTCCGGTTCTGAGCTTATCCACTCTGCTTGTAACACCTTTATAAAGAATGTGACTGCGACATCAGTGTTGCTCCTCAATAGAGTTCCTTGTCTTCATGATAAATAGAGCGCTTTGGCCTTCAAGCCCTTGGGAAATACTGAGAGTTTGTTGTGCAATATTATAAGCTTCACAGGGTGTTCTGAGTTCATTAAATAATGCTTGATAAAAGACACTGCTAAACTTAATTCAAGCTTCATCCATAACTTTCTTGCTTCTCTCAATGCATACGACATGCTGAGCTCCAGCATTCAGGAATACTTCTGATTGGTTTTCAGAATATCAAGAAGACAGAAATACTACATCTAGCTTAGAATTTCAGACATCGAGGATCATCTTAAGTTTCTGTGAGGACACAAGTTGGCCAGATCCATCTTCATTTTCAAGCACGAGACAGTCTTCTTTATTTCCCCTTTATCTCTTGGTTGCTTATCCCATGTCCGATGAAGTGGAGGACGTATGGATTTTTACTGACTGAAGATATAAAATTCATAGATGTTCCCATTCTGATAGAGTAGTTCACCTGATTCATTCCTCCTTCTAAAGCATTCGTAATATTATCAATGTCATTATGGAAATTAAGTTCTTGGATGACTTTGAATGTTTTAGAGCCTGTCTTATCCACAACTTCGTATCCGAGAGGGGAAGCATACAACACTGCAAGGTGCAGCTTGTCCATATTTCTATTATCTTGGGAAAGAAAGTCTACAATATCGTTACTCTGCATTGGAACTATTGCATCTTCAAAGCTATTCTGGTTTTCAAAAAGAGATCTTCTCTGGTCTTTTCGGATTAGTTTAAGAGCCCGAGATATGAGTTTTTCCTTTTCAATTATTTTCTTTTTGATTTTCTTGACTCTCTCTTTGCAAACTCAGTCATGACCAAGTCCAAGAAAAGAGGAATCTGTTGATGGTGCTAAATCTATATTAGTCTGGAACGTAAATAAAGACAATTTTTAAAGTCAGACAACATAGGGATTGCCAGAGCTCTTTGAAAATCTTACGTAGCATGGAATCATAAAAAAAATGAGAAATTATCGGGGGAATGGGTAAGTGTCAAAGTTTGAATGATTTAAAAGTACCTTGGTCCATCTTATTCCAAATCCTTATCCTTCCTCCCATTGTGGTAGGCCTCACTGTGACGCTATCATCATCCGATCTTTCAGATTCTGAATTCTTGCGAATGCTGCTTCCAAATTTTTTGGACTGGAGTAATGTATTCTTCATTTATATATAAAATTATTTAAAGAATAGGGGTTTTGGGGTTTTGGGGTTTTGGGGTTTTGGGG